CTCTCTCTCTCTCTCTCTCTCTCTCTCTCTCTCTCTCTCTCTCTCTCTCTCTCTCTCTCTCTCTCTCCGCTGTGATGTGTCCATTACGTTTCGGAGTTCAAAGTCCAAATTTGGTGTCTTCTTTTCCAAACCGTCCACAGACTATACCGCCTCACCCCTTGGAAACAAATGTTCTAATAGGGGCAACATTCCCTTGAGACACGGAATTCTGTTAGAAGAGCTAAAGGATTTTCTGGAGAGTTCTGTGAGGGACCTTCTGCCAAAAAGTGCGAGTCTTATCCCATAACTGTCCGGCCTTTGAGTGGTCGTGGAGACAGCAACCCAGATTTTACTTCTTCACATACATTGCACAGCTCCTTAAGCCTGCTCCTCGTCTCCTTGCTTTTGCGTTTCTTCTAAATTCTTGAACAATTCATTCACTAGTAATGCTAAATAGTAAATAACCACTGATCATGTTCCTCTTTTTTTTTTTTTTCAGGTGAAATGTCATCAATCGTGTTCCTCTTCGTTAGTGGCAGCTTGCATTTTTCGTTATCCTTCTGCCGCCAGAGTTTCAGTGGTGGAGATTTCATGTCAAAAACAGGCTGTGCGCGTAGGCCCTTAGGGCATACTCACAATGGCACTTTTGAGTGATTCTGGCCGTACGTACTGTCAGATTCATCCAGATTCAGCTTTTAACACCCCCAAAAGCCACCAACTTTCCTATGTTCTGATTGATCATGTTATGATTTTTATGGTTAGCAATCATATCGTGATTGATTTTATATATTATATGAATGATGGATCTTACGTTTCTTACCTTTCTTTGTTTTTTTTTTTTTGTTTTTTTTTTTTTAACCAATCGTTCTCACGCCATGAGCATCTCCCTTACATAATTGCCGCCTCATATGCTTCTTTCCTTACGGCTTTTTTCTTTTTTTTTGTTGGGAAGGGGGCGAATGGCGGATTATGTCTGGTCGACTACATTAGCATTGAGATGGCCGATGAAAATTATGACAAAAACGTGTTACCTGCTGAAGCTTCGCTTGTGTGGCACAAGGTTGGAAATGTGCCCGGTGGAGGGGTATAGGGGAACGAAAATGGTTGGGGCTGGGGGGGAGGGGTGGAGGGGAGGTGTAGTTATACGAATTGACTTTGCTGCAGAGCTCTATGGCAGAGCCATTTCGTAGAGGAGGAGGTCCGCTTGTTGGAGGAATGACAAAATTAAAGGACGAGCGGAAGGGATGAGGAGGTTGCGAGGGGTTTGGTATGGGTGCTATGCTGGTTAGCATAAGTGCTATGCTGGTTAGCATAATTGCTATGCATGGGTGCTATGCTGGTTAGCATAAGTGCTATGCAGGTATTGCCTGTGTAGTCTTCAGTTGGCCAACTACGCTACTGTGTTATAACAAGGCGCATGATGCCAGCTTTGCATGTATGGGAACCTGCGACGGCGGCATGAGTAAGGAATCTAAGGATGCATGCCATGCATTTATGTGTGGGAGGGCAATGTGTGTTCTCAGGCCGGAATAATAACACAATCTCTATCTAACGTCTGATATGAACTATGAATTGAATGAATTTCCATGGCCAGGTGCGAGTATATGACGAAACCACACGCAAGCTGGCATCAAAGTTGGTCGACGGGTAAGTGTGGCTTTTCTACTCCTCGTCCTCCTCCCCTTCCTCCTCCTCCTCCTCCTCCTACTATACTACTACTACTACTACTACTACTACTACTACTACTACTACTACTACTATTACTACTGCTACTACTGCTACTCCTACTACTACTACTACTACTACTACTACTACTACTACTACTACTTCTACTACTACTCCCCTCCACTTCCCCTCCTCCCTTCCCTCATCTGCCTCTCTTGTCCTCTTCCTCTAGCTCCCACAGAATCATGGTGCAGAAAAGGGCTACAATTACTGGCCCTTCTCAAAATGAAAGATTTCCCATATAGATGGCTTAACTGGAGGTGTGTGATGATGTGTGTGTGTGTGTGTGTGTGTGTGTGTGTGTGTGTGTGTGTGTGTGTGTGTGTGTGTGTGTGTGTGTGTGTGTGTGTGTGTGCTGCTTTTTCCGTCCGTTTCTTCTTCTTCTTCCCCTCTGTACGTTCTTTCAGTGTCTTTTCTTTTTCTCTATATATTTCAGCATTTGGGATTACAAAATTTTGCTTGTTTCCTGTTCATCTTGACCCAAACAGGGATGGACGAACAACAGCAGGTCACTCCAACCGTATTTTTGCTGTCAAATTCCATCCAAACGATGAGAATGTGTTGCTGAGCAGCGGGTGGGACAATACCATCCAGGTGAAAAGGCACACAGAAGCAAATCTCTCTCTCTCTCTCTCTCTCTCTCTCTCTCTCTCTTTCTCTCTCTCTCTCTCTCTCTCTCTCTCTCTCTCTCTCTCTCTCTCTCTCTCT